TTAACGATTTTTTTCCTAGCTATCTGTCCGAAATCCATATAATTATCACTCATGTATTTAAATTTTGTTTTGATAACCATTCAAATGTATTGGTAGTATTACTAAATTCTATCACGGTCAAGTAAAAATGAGGTTGAGAAAATCTCCCTGTAACTAAATAAACCGTATCAAACTAACTGGAACAGTAGTTGGAATTCTTCTCCACGGTAATACTTTTGTTCCTTCAGTTAGCCTACTAATACAGATGCAACTGGAATTCAACTCATATGGACAACTTACCGGCATAATCGTTATTTGATTTCATAATTTAAACCAAAACTAATACCAATATTAACATTTCTATAATATTCATTACTTTAATATTTCTAAACACAAAACACTTACTACCTATACGTTAAGTTATTAACCAACAGCTATTAACACGCATCGTTTTATTATTATTATTATTGTAATCCCATTTTTTATAGCTCAAATAATCTTTACCCAAATTTTCATTTCAAGCATGAAGGCAGATATTTTAAAATTATTACATGTATTTCCCGACTAGATGCTGCCGGTTTCATTTTGATTTATTTTTTAGCTTACCATTACCCGGGGTATGCTTACTAGTCTTGGTAACCTTCGGTGCACGACGATCCCATCCAATTTGGTATCGAACCAACATCACGTTGATTCTGGTGGGAGAGTAGTGTAGTGGCATTGGACAATAGCCACACAATCCACAAAGCTGTGAACACGAGACTACTCAGAGAATAGATATTCAATATTTAACGCGGGGAAATACCTAACAATGGAGAAGGCGCGGAGAATGAATTGAATGGACTGGAGTTGATCGAGTGGCATGGCTCGGCCATGCAGGCGTGGTCTCTGCTGAATATTACCTTATATCTTTTATTCATATTAAATATATTGTTGTTTCTCTAGCCTAACCTTGTTCTACATCACGTATTGGTAATTGATGCGATACAGTGAGTTGGTGTAGTCGATGGCGTGACTTCCACCTAAGATCTTATATATTAGGCAGTTATATCATGACAAATCTACAAATTTAGTATTAGGTCTATTATTAGAGCAGTACTAATATCATAGTAGACCATAATTCTGCAGATCCACAAATTCTCCTGGAAGTCGATGTGTCGTTCCATAAACGAGTTGAGCCACAGTGTATGCAATGTCAGCTTTCACTGCATTGCGAATACCTAGTAAGACGAGTGGAACAGCGTCGTTCCACCGTGAAATGTTTGCAGCTGATGGTGAAGCTTTTAGTTGTCGGTGAAAACGTTCCACCAACCCGTTTGCTTGTGGATGGTAGGTGGTCGTTCGGAAGCGAGTGATTCCTAAAAGTGTGGTCAGACAACGGAAAAGTTCGGATTCGAACTGTCGTCCGCGGTCTGTAGTGATAGTTGAAGGACAGCCGAAGTTTGCTACCCATCGCTCGACGAGGGCGCTGACCACTGTTTCAGCAATGATGTCCTTGATAGGTACTGCTTCTGGCCATCGAGTGAAACGGTCTACGCAGGTTAAGAGGTAAGAGTATCCATTTGAATCTGGCAAAGGTCCTACCAAATCCGGATGAACATGGTCGAGACGAGCATCGGGATTTTTAAATGAGCCTAAGGGACATTTATTGCGTTTGATAACCTTAGATTTCTGACAGCTTACACAGGAGCGTGCCCACTCCTTCACGTCTTTGTTCATGCCAGGCCAGCAATACCGTTCTGTTGTAAGTTTGATGGTTGCGCGAACACCTGGATGAGAAAGTTTGTGCAACGTAGTGAAGACGTTGCGTCGATAATATTTCTGCACGATTGGGCAATCCCCACCCGTAGATGTGTCACAAAGTAAGGTTTCCTTACCTGTTCCCATGTGTTCGATGCATAGCTTGAGGGTTGCAGACGATAACTCGTGCTGAAGATCAGTGTCTTCTTTTTGAAGCTGGGCGAATTTCAGAAGGTCGATTCCTTGGAAACTGTTCAAGGAAGTTATTCGAGACAAGGCGTCTGCAACTACATTGTTTGCTCCAGAAATGTGTTGGATGTGTGAAGTAAATTGCGAAATGTAGTCCAGTTGTCGAGACTCACGAGGTGAGTACTCGGTTGAAGAGGAGCCTAACGAGAAAGTAAGAGGTTTATGGTCAGTAAAAAGGGTGAATTCACGGCCTTCGACGTAATGTTGAAAATGCCGTGCAGCACAACACATAGCTAGGAGTTCCCTACCGAATGCGCTGTACCTCGATTCGGTGTCTAGCAACCGTCTAGAGAAAAATGTCAAATGTTGCTAGGAGTTGTTAACCCATTGTTGTAAAACTCCTCCGATTGCTGAGTCGGACGCGTCTACTGCGTTGCTAATAGGTGCTTCGGTGTCCTGATGGGCAAGCATTGTTGCTTTAGCGATAAGTTCCTTAACTATGAAGAATGCTTTACGCGCGGTGCCGTCCAAATTGACGGATTTCGCATTTCCACGAAGTTGGTCGGTCAGAGGTTTCATAAGTAACGCGCATTCAGGTACGAATCGTCTATAGAAACTTACAAGGCCGTCAAACACTCGTAATTGCTTGATCGTGGTCGGTTCTGGGTAGTCCAGAATGGCCGCCACTTTGGTTATAAGGAGTCGAATTTTTTGAACATCGATAGTGTGTCCTGGAAAGTCTCATGAGTCGGTTCCGATTTGATATTTCTGAATGTTTACAGTAATGCCATGTTTTTGTGGTCGATCGAAAACAAGATCCAGATGCTTGAGATGCAATTTTCTATCCGGACTTATCATTAGACAGTCGTCAACATATGCATGTACGAAATTGAGAACTCGACAAACGTCGTCTATAAACCTTTAGAAGGTTTGTTCAACGTTTCTTAAACCGAAGGGCATTCGCAAAAATCCGTAAAGTCCGAAAGGAATTATGATGGCCGTTTTCGGAAAGTCGTCAGTGGTCATGGGAATTTGGTTATAAGCTTTAACCAAGTCGATTTTCGAAGAGACAGTTGAATCTTTCAAGGTGGCTGTCAAATTGTGAATGTGAGGCAACGGGTGACGATCGGGAATGGTTTTCGCATTCAATCGCCGATAGTCACCAGTTGGACGCTAATCGTTGCTATCCTTTTCAGGGACCATGTGCAATGGAGATGCATATGGGCTATTTGACGGTCGTATGATTCCTAAGTCCATCATGTGGTCGAACTCGTTTTTCACCGACCTTAGCTTTTCGAGGGCTAGTCGTCGTGCTTGAGAGAACACAGGTGATCCTGTATTCTTGACGTGATGTGTAACGTTGCTGGTTACACATGGTAATTTCGGTTGCGTTTGGTGTATCCCAGGATACATACCGAGTAGTCGTTGATAAAGTGGGTCTATCGTATGCGTTAAGGTAAACGTACCTTTTGCCATACGTAGTGATAGGCTTTCCGTTTCCCGCCAGCAAGGTTAAAACTGATTCGTGAATCCGGTCGTTAGAATTCGCTGGGAGAACGCTAACTTCTGCGCCAGTGTCGACGAGGTAGCGAACTCTCGTTGTCACATCTGTGACGTACAACAGACGGCTATGTTCGCCGGCTACGGTTGCCCTTAACGCATGCCGGCTTGGAAGTTTCCCGAGTTCATTTTCGAGTCAGTCGGTTTCGTGTTGGGAAAATTGCAGGGTTTTCTGCAATTTCTGGAAGACTTTCCCTACTGGTTGTGATACCAGCACCAGTCGGGATTATCCGTCTCTCGTGGTCTAGAGACAGATCGCTTACGTGAAGTGCTTCTACGTGGGGTGTGTGATCGCTTACGGTCGTTACGAAAATTAAGATAACGCGTAAGTGTATGAAATAACTCTGTTATGTCATTCTGGGTTGTTTGGGGCTTTTCTTTGACTGAAAAAACCTCGGTATTAGAAGATTTTGTGATTTCTAAAATGCGGTCGGCAGATGTAGCTAGCTCGTCTTAGGCGTTGTTGTGGAACGAGACAAGTACAGCTTGCACCTGTTGCGGAAGTTTCGACAAGAAAAGTTGTTTAAATAGGCCTCCATCGAAAGTTCTTTAGCCGATAACCTCTCTCATCCTTTGCAACATGTCCGTCGCAGAACCGCGTTGCAGGTCGATGTTATTGAGGAGTTGGTCTAACCTTTGTCTATCAATTAGGTCTCCGCGTTTAAGAATAGAACGTTTCAGCGTTTCATCAGGTTCAGAAACATCACTAGTAAACATACTAGGTGTTACGTACCTGTTGAATTCGCACGGTAGTGCCTTGATTACTGCGAGGAATTGTACACGTGTGTCGATCACGCCGTGCTCAGAAAAGTCGGCTTCTACATAGCAAAACCAGGCCCCGATGTTGTTTGGCCAGAAGGGCATCAGTTGAAATGAAGGCGCGGATATAGTCTTCAGCTTAAGTACTTTGGGTGTCTGTTCAGTCATGATGAAATATGAAGTACGAGAATGAAGGAGGGAAAAATATATATATCGAAAAACACGAGAAAAAAATATCACAATGTATAAAATATTAAGATAAGGCAATGATATATAGTATCCCAAAAAGGAACACACAGTTTGCGATTTGGTGTACTAGATCACGTTAGGCTCACCAATGAAGATGGCACAGGTATTCACTGTTTGACAACGCTTTTACCAGTAACACCCTCTAATATAACTCGTACCCACCAAGAGAAATCAAAAGACAGAATCGAGGAGATCAGAAGTTGTATTTGACGATTGCCAATATATCGGAATTATCTGATCTAATCTGGCTAGCGATTGCAGTAGATGTTGAGCACGGCGTTCCAACACGTGATCTGGTGCGGATGCATGACCGAGCGCCTTCAGCTAGGTGATTCCACTAAAACTAATCTGGTCAGCATCCAATGTCGAAAACTTACAGAGCTATTTATCTTGGGGATTTATTTACCGCTGCACAATAATTTGTATGCTGATCCGGACCATATCGAAGATATTTGTGGCATATGACCAAATTTAGGGTGAATTTCTTGTTATAAAGTCCATATTCCCAAATAGACTTGAAATTAATGCATGTATTTAAGAAGTGTGAAAAGCCTCCTGGTATTCTGAATGTACATATGGTTTGGAGTCTTGCTATAATGATAGTAAGTGTCTGGAAAGAAGTTACCCATAATCATAGTAACATCGATCCAAGCAACGTCCTAGGAGCATTTCTAGAGAACACTTGATGGATTCTCAAACAGTTAACCTAGCAGCTCACACGCATTTAGTGAAAGAATTGTTTTTTCTGGTTCTCATTCACTAATTACTGTGCCTAGCAATGTCTGTAACGATCAGAAGTGATTTGAAGCATTGAATATATTATGTAGGACTTGGGCATTAAACACTTGTGGGGCGCTTTGTTTGGGTTTATTTCAAATTCTGTACTATTTGTACGTTTCGCTTATGAATACTGCTGCACTCTGTCATGAGTATTATTTCATGAAGCACAGGAAGCGTGGTTAATTTTTTAAAAACGCTTTTATCTTTAAGTTTAGTCTCGTAACACGATAGTTCCCTAACTCCTTATTTTGGAGGAAAATTTTGTCTGTTTTGGGGAAACTCTATAAACAACTTTGGGAAAATGGCACAAAAACCTCAACATTTCCTCGGGTTTTGGGAAAACTGCCATATTTCTTACGACTTTTTGGAAAACCACGGAATTTACCCAATGTACCCCAAAATAGGGAGATTATGTTTCTCAGCCAGATTTGTTGATAATGTAATGCACGAATCTACTTTAGTCTTAATTTTATCCATTATTTCGAGTATGTTGTCACCTCTGCTACATTCATGCTGTTCTAGCGTTGTTTGTGTCCAGAACACTTGAAAATCTCATGGAGTAGTGATCTAAAGGTAATTCTAGTAAGATTTCTTTAACCAGTCTAAATGACAACAAACTGTATCTCATCCAGTTTACTCAGAAAAGCGTGGTTTTGTTAAGCTTGATTTGAATATTAAAGGCGGAAGAAATCCCACTAAGGTTTGTTCAAAATCAAATCCACTTCGGGAGTAAATGTTTCATGGGACTTCGCTTTTACACCATGTCTTATTCACAATATAATAGTACAGAAACCTTTGCTTAACTGTCTGAAGGGATTTAAGCTTCACATCAAACTTTCTCTTAAAAATTTACTCATAAGGCGTATTCCAGTTAGAATTACTTTAAAAGTGTACCTTGGAAATCTATATTTTGATAGTTATTGTCAATAGGAAACATTACATAGTTTAGATCAATTGAGCGAAATGTGCTTGTGAAGTCGGTACCTTCACAAAAAGATGGGTTAGTCATTTACTTTCCAGTTGACTAAGGCAAATACACACTATTCTAACTGGCCTATAACTTGACGTTAGTTGTCAATTGTTAACCAAAAAATTAAATTAAATAACATCAGCTTTCTAATTCTCGGTAGGCTTAAGAAAGCTATAAATGGCTTGAGACAGGTGGCAGTACCGAATTCTTATGCCTCAATTTCGATAGTCTTCTTAAATAATAGTCTCAGCTTGTATTTTGAGCTAAATATAGCGTAAGTTCAGTGTTCAGGTGAAATTACAGAGATTTTCTAGAAAAGAATAGGTAGCCTTGTATGATAATCCCATAGGAATAAGCTTAGTTAAAAATTTCCAAACGTTCTGACTTTTGTAACCACTCGGCATCTAACCAATCCTATTCAACAAATCTGGGAAATAAACAGCCTAAACTCCCATTAGTTATGAATACATTTTTAACTGCTCAACTGTAACACTATTAGTACATCACTTATTTATTTTCTTTTTATTCCTTGTTCAGACGTCATGCTCTGTAATGGAAAAGAAAACTTCAATGAAATTACTTACCTCAGGAGCTGGTTTGCCTCTTTATGTGCTGAGGAAACTTATTTTCTTTTGTAATATCTCATAATGAGGGTACGGGGACCTAAATTACCACCTGATGTGAATTTTGCGAAAAAGAACCCTATTCCGAATGTCACAGGGAGCCATCAGATGACTTGGAAGGAGTTGGCTGAAGCTGATGATCTTGCTTCCGCTCTCACCGTTGACCCTTATCTTGGATTCACTACCCATAAAATGACTGAGTATGTTTTTGCAAGTAACATATTCTCTTTTATAGCATGAAGCTAAGAATTCCAGATAGAATTAAAAGGAAGTTTCGTGATATTATATGCAACTTTCAGAAGCATAAATGTTATGATGCTGCCTATAATCAGTTGATAGCCGATCCAAATATTGTAAAACGTCCTTGGAGTGTTGATCCTCGGTTCAAAGAGCATGTACGTGTTTCGTAGCCTTGATTTATTCATAGGTCAATCGTTATCTTTTATTGTTTGATGATCGTTCTGGCATCGAAATTCGACCATGTTGGCGCTATGCATCGGAAAACCATATGGGTGCTGCAATTTTCGCAACAAGAGATTGGTAAACCAAAGGAATCCTCATAAATAAGTTTCTAGGGCTAAAGGATCACGTATCAGTACCTTGGTGGGATGTATTGCTGAACTTAAACATCACGAAGAAGCTGCATTTCTGAAGCATCACAAAAATGATTTTTCGGTTATGTATTCTTCTAGGAAAAATTGCTCTCAGTTGTGGTTGGGTCCCGCTGCCTACGTTAATCATGATTGTCATCCAAATTGTGAGGTAACGTTTTGTTCGATATATTAGATGCATCTCAAGTTTATATATTCCTAAGCAACCATATTCTTACGTTGTTACTGACTGACTGACTAATTCTTATTAGGTCCCAATCTTCCTGTTAGGTCTAACTCAGCAACAGACCTTCATTGTTCAAGTTTGGAGATGTCTAGATAAAAGAGCGAAAGTCATCAACCAAATGAAAAAAAACGCAGATTAACCAACACAAAGAAGAGTAGATATTATGTGATAGTTTTAAGATTGCAAGATAAAAAGGAATATGTACCATTGTGATTGTTCTTAAACAATTCTGTCGACGTTTTCTTTCATATATTACATTTTTGTTTATTAGAGTTAGATCACTGGCTGTGTTTGTCGCGTCATTAAGATAATTCAACGATAATGAGATTCGATTTCCGCTGATTAATTTTATAAAACATTTAGTTAGTGTGACTTCTCTATATAGTCGTTGCTAGTCTGCAAAAGATTGTTTAGAATGGTAAATGAGATTTTTAGATTCCATACCAGTGCTTGATTGTTAGCACAAATATGGATGTCTTTCCACGACTTTTAACTCATTTTGAACCTCGGAGAATGTATTAGGAATGATTAATGGTTTTTTAAGTGATTAATCTCCAAGTATTTAGTTCTCTTTCAAAAGTAATAATGTTGGATACTTTTTGAGTAATATTAACTCAGCATACTTTATTAAGTGTAGGCTTTTATCACCAAGGCTTAAAATTCCGTTGGTTTTATGAAACAAATCGTTCTTGCAAATCACCTTATCCTACAATTTTTTTTTTCTGATTGAATTTAGTTCACAATTAACTGTGATGTTGACGCTCGTATGAGTTTGGAAGCAAAAACGGATATAAAATGTGGTGATGAAATTTTTATCTATTATGGTACTCACTTTTTTGATACAAATAATAGAGCTTGTGAGTGTTTTACCTGCGAGTTATTGGGGCGCGGTTATTTTAGTAAATTTACACAAACGATTGACAGTGCCACTGTTTCCAATCAAAAACTGATTCCAAATATTGTGAATGGTCAAGAAAACTATACCAGAAATATAGCGTCGTATCACAATGCCCGTTACAATCCTAATGCTCGTAGTCATGTTCTTCTTGATAAGATGAACTTATTACCAGGTAGGTTTGTTTCAGAATATCTGTATAAAGGTGTTAGTTCTAGTAAATTATCGCTTATCATCCTTATTTGATATATTATTAACTTGCCAAAGATATCGCGAAACGACATCTTCATTGTTGAACATATTAACTTGTATTCTTTTGATTTTGCTTATATTCACTTCCAATGCGTATACAAAATAACAAATTTATGTTTATGTGTTTATTGTGTATCGTGAACAGTAATGTTTATTCCATCAGTTAGCCATAATCAATGTAGTACCTACCTAAAATGTGCATCAGTCTAAGTCACTACACCACATACGAAAAACGAAGTTGACTAAATTAATAGAAAATGAATCGAGATAACAGTATGAAACAGGATTCACCACTTACTAAAAGCCAAGCCACGTTTTAGAACCTGTTCCAAAATTTCGTCAATCACTAAATCATCCGGACTGACAAGACTTTGAAGATAAATGAAAATAACAAAAACACATCCAATCGCTTTCATCGCTACGACCAAACTCGGTATAGACAGAGATCAGTTATAAAACGATATTTCCATTTAGAGGGGAAGAATTTCGTCCCAAACATTCCGGCGTTGTTACTTATGGTTTTTAAATAGTTAGTTTGCTAATGTCTTCATTCAACAAAACTTTGTCAATCTTCACTCCTAAGTGTGTAATCTCATTTCTTTAAAGTTTTTTTGCTAACTAAAAGCTGAAAGTATATTCGATCATTGTGAGAAGTAATCGATGATATATAGAACTTTATCTCTCTTAGATGCAATAACGTCGTTATTCAAGTGTGTCAAACAGCAAAATAAATCTATAACGCCATTTGTCTCGATAAATTCTATTTTATTTAGCTTTGCAGTTTATTTGTGATATGTAAACTTTTTCATGCAATTAACTAGTGTTTATATTATATTAAATATCACTGAAGCTTCTGTTCCTCGCTCTTCTTCACAATCCTTATGACATTTTGCCGTAATTCTCAAAGACATCAAACGTAAGGATTCTACGATTCTGTCAATTCACTTTGTTCATTATATGCATGAAAGAAAACTAAGTTCATGAAAAAATACAGATGATCCTCCCTACTCAGTAACTTTACTGTTCAATATTTGGATTCACTCTTTTTATGAATAAGGGAGTGACATTTTAGATGTCAAATTAGGTCTACAATTTCGTTAAATGTTTAAAATGCATTTTCGTCTTAATGGTTCTCTGGGATATTTAAACAAGTTACCAGTGAGATTAAGACTTTATTTATTTATCTTTTGTACATACTTTGATTTTTTTATAGATAATACTCTGTCTGCATGTAATGATGCACAAAATGCTAAGCAATTATCTTTGGATTTTTTCCTCGAAAAGGGATCTTCCACTGGTTTAGCTTGTAAAGCATTACCTAATGCCTACGCCTTACGCCATACTGGATCTCGTCTAAACCGCGTTAAAGCTCGATTATTTGCTGCAAAAGTAGCTTCTATAAACAGATCCTTTGGTGTGAACAGTCAAGAAAACAGAAAGCCAAAAATCAAGTCTTACAAAAAGTGCAAATTAAGAATGACAATTTCAAATATCATTCCCTCTTTAAAAAGAAACAAGTCAAAATCAAATCCCCACGCCATTGGTAAAAAAAACCTAATGAAATCTGTCGCTGCCGTAAAAAGCCGACAAATATTGTCTGACGCTCAAGCAAAGGACAATTTTACTTCGAGAAGAAATATCGGTAACCTGTCTGATCACAGTATAGTTTGTGATGGTATATCATGGCAGGAATCCGATGGGACAAGTAGTGGATTAGGGCGGAGTGTTAACAATGACAGTAGTGGCTCCAATAGTCCATTACCACCAGATTTGGATCGGATGTCATCGACTTCACCAAACAATTCATTCAGTGAAACGATTGTTGTTACACCTGATCTTAAATCATCTTACTATCTTGAATCACTAGTTCAAAAATGCACTGACAATCGGAATATGAAACGAAAACCATGTAGTATTAGTGCTGAGTCTTCTATACCAATCATCAGTCCATTACGAATTACAGGTGTGTTAAGCAGAAATTTATATACATTCATATTTTCAGATGTGTTTCAAAGTATGGCAAATTGAACAAATGCGTTGCTGAATCACGTTTTTTATTGACGTAGATGACTAATCTTAGATACCTTTTAATGCTAGAAATATGTTAAAAAAATCAGTCGTGTAATTTTTTAGTCCTATAGTTTGTTAATGATGCTTTTTAGTGTCATTGTTTTGAAAATTGAGTTTCGTAGAAATATTTTCTCAGTAAATCTGAGCTGAATTTATACTTTAAACCTAGAATGATCGTTAGTTACTGACTATCTATTTTCATGATTATCTACTAACTGGTTACCTAATCCCTTACGTAAATTTCCCGAGATTTTAGGTCAAAATCTCATTTGTTTACAAGTTAAATTTGATTCAGGTGGTTGATAATCACTAAAACAGCTTTAATAAACTTCTTAAATAACTAGTACTGAACACCGATAATAAATGTACTTTAGACAAACAGTGAAGCGTACTTACTTACGCCTGTTACTCCCAATGCAGCATAGGCCGCAGACCAGCCTTCTCCAACTCACTCTGTCCTGGGCCTTCTTTTCTAGTTCTATCCAATTCTTGTTCATTTTTCTCATGTCTATCTCCATTTACCCGCGTGATGTGTTCTTTGATCTTCCTCTTTTCCTTTGGCCTTGAGGATTCCATGTGAGGGCTTGTCTTGTGACGCAGTTGGGTGGTTTCCTCAATGTGTGTCCTATCCACTTCCAGCGCTTCTTCCTGATTTCTTCCTCCGCTGGGATCTGGTTTGGTCTCTCCCACAGTACGTTGTTGCTAATAGTGTCCGGCCAATGGATCCGAAGTATTTTGCGTAGACAATTGTTAATAAAGACCTGTATTTTCTGGATAATGGCTTTCGTAGTTCTCCAGGTTTCTGCCCCATACAGTAGAACTGTCTTGATATTTGTATTGAAAATCCTGACCTTGGTGTTGGTTGACAGTTGCTTTGAGTTCCAGATGTTCTTCAGTTGTAAATATGCTACTCTTGCTTTGCCGATCCGCGCCTTCACATCAGCATAAGATCCACCCTGTTCATCAATGATACTGCACAGATATGTGAAAGATTTTACATCTTCCAAATCTTCTCCGTCAATTGTGATTGGATTGGTGCATTCTGTGTTGTATCGGAGAATCCTGCTTTTCCCTTTGTGTATATTGAGACCTACTGCTGCTGAGGCTGCTGCCACACTGTTCGTCTTCTCCTGCATCTGTTGTTGCGTTTGGGATAGAAGGGCCAGATCATCTGCGAAGTCTAGATCATCCAACTGCATCTTAGATGTCCATTGTATCCCGCGCTTTCCTTCAGATATTGACGTCTTCATGATCCAGTCGATCGCCAAGAGAAAGAGAAAGGGTGAGAGTAAGCAACCTTGCCTGACACTGGTCTTTATGTCGAACGACTTTGTCAACTGCCCTCTATGCACGATTTTGCAGTGTAATCCATCCTAGGAATTCTGTATGATAGTGACTATCTTCTGAGGCACGCCGTAGTGTCGAAGAAGTTTCCATAATGTTGTTCTGTCCACGCTATCAACTGCTTTCTCATAGTCAATAAAGTTGATGTAGAGTGATGAATTCCATTCAATTGATTGTTCCACAATGATCCGTAGAGTTGCGATTTGGTCTGTACACGTAGGCGAATGTATATTCAGTTTTGGAGTGCTTATGTTAGTGGTGATTGACCAAGTATCCCACTTTCAAGGATTCTTTGTAAAAATATTTACTTATAACACCAAATACTTTCTAGGGATGTTCATTCTTGTATGTGGATTAAAGGTTTTGTGTTTTACTCAAATTGTTTTATGATATTTAAGGTAATCCAATAATTTTATGTTCGTAAGTATCCAACTAAGCTGTAACGTTCAGCATTTCATGGGGAATGTAGGAAAGCAAATTGTTTATAATGGTACTGAGTTTTTTTTTTAGAAAGAAAAACATTTTTTCGAAAGTAGTTTTCACCAATTTTACCATATTTATTGATTGAATCGAAATCTGTTATGCAATTTCAGCTGAAAATGAACTAACAAAGAATGTGGAACCTATTTTGGGACGACTTATGCATGAAACAAAGTGTAGTGGTGATTTAAAAAACCCATTAACTACTAATTATATATTTAATCAATCTACTACTTCTGAACACTGTCGAAGACGTTTAACAAATTATGATGCTCGTTTGATAGCCGAGGCCAGTTTGCTCACTCCGGTATCCAAACAAAGGCAACGTAAACCGCCAATTTATCCAGATTCTGTAGAGTATGTTTCATTTAAAAATACGGTGAGATCTAAAACAAGATCAATAAAGTGTGGAAATAAAGATGAACTTTTGAATGACAAGTCACAAAATAACAACGGCCATGATGTTAAAGATGCAAATGACGATTCTAAAAGTTTTTATACTAAGTACAACCCACAATTAGGGTTATCTTTTGTGGGGAATAAATATGTTGCGGCTTCAGGAACACAGTGTTATGCAATGCCGGACCAATGTACGGATATTGAGTCTTTTTCTGAGGAGCTGATACCCCCATTACTAACCAGTCCTTCGAAACTTCATACAACGTCATCATTTACTTTGTCAGATAGTTCTCATGATGTGGGTCCTCCCTCCATATATTCCACAGCTGAAGCAGATGATAGAAGTGAACTCATTTCGATTGATTCTGAACTCACTGAATCCAATTTAGATACTGATTCCTCATGTGATTATCATATTTCTAACACACCTATAATCCCTTTCAGTCTTTATAATAAGTCCATTACAAATGACAAAAAAAGTTCTTTAATGTCAGCTGAACATATTCTTATAGATCATGATTACTCTTTGCCAGCATATGATGCTGAATGTACTCTAGTTTCGGATCCAATACTTAACACTAAAATAAACAACCAAGACCACCGACAGAAATCCGAGAAAAATTCACTTCAAAACTATAGTATCAATAATAATAATGATAAAAACTTTAATGCATATTTACCAGAAGTCGTCCGTACACCTCCACCTCCACTTCTGCAACCAGAAACTCAATCTAGTATTTTCGAATTGTATGCTCGTGATTCACCACGTAAAATTAAAAGTGATTTCCTCTCGAATTCATCTCATATCCCCTCAGTTTCCTACGCTCATAATTCATGGCAGTCTCGAACTTCAGATACAAAGGACATTTGGCACCCTGATCTTCTGTTATCTGACTCTTCTTCACCAGATTCTCGCCGTCTAACGGTTACTCTTAAACGCGTTGGACCTAAGCATTATCAAATATCTCAACCAAGTAGACTTTTTATTGATTGAAAAAGATATTTTGTCTATAATATATGACTATGCTTCTTTTTACTTTCTCGCAAATTTATAGAGATGTTTTTATTCCTTGTTTATGACCAGCATTTTCGATTTCTTACTACCTCAGATTTCTCATTTATATATATGTACTACATAAAAATCCATATTCAATCCTATTATTTTCTTTTAGCATGGTAATTATTGTCAGTATGTATATAATGTTAATAAAAAAGCACTCTGGCTGTTGTTAACAGTACACCTCTTTTATTCTGTGATTGCTTTTATGTAATGAGATTCTTTAAGTAATTTGAAGTCCAAATGCAATACAGTCTTATGAGCTGGAAAAGTTTAAAAATGGCAAAGATTTTTAAATTATGACAGTGATTACTGATCCAACATCTAGATCATCTTGCTACAGACCTAGTTGCGGATTCTAGCTATCGCTCTACATACTTCACTATAAGTAACCAGATAATGTCACTAGTTCTCACACTGTTTGACACAAAGCCGAGTATATAAACATGTACCTGGTGAGTGAGTTACATTATTTAATTAATTAATGGGGAGAAAAAGTGTGGAAATGTTTAATTCACATTTTGCACCCATAGTTATTACTTTTAAAGACAAGGAGAGAAGTAACTGGACATGGAGACCACTTCATGTAGTTGGTGAGATCTATTAGTCAGCGACGTAACTTCAGTCTTAGTATTATAAGCAGAGATAGTTGGTGGCTAGCAGTGGAATCCAGGACGCACGTTTCGTTTGACGTCTGCTACTATATAGTTATCCGTATCATTTAGGGAATTAATCTTCTGAGACGGCAACCCCAAGGTAATGTGATCTGATAAATAGACCGAATTATCTAGCACTAACACGAAAGAAATGCATGACAACTTATTTTTCGTAGACCGAGATATTGTCCACTTTTGCTATACTATTTAGTTCTATATATCCTTTGGTGCTTGGTCAATTTCCTAAACAAAGAAAAACTACACTTGAAAATTCTGTCTAATGGTCATGATATATACGTATAAAGCTTTTCTGTGCTAACGTGTTTCACAGGACCACCATTAACCGAAGTCAACTAGTTATTATTGCTGAGTTTGTATTGCAGCACCAGCGAATAAATTCCGAATGGACACATTAGTACCTCAATTGGCTATAAGTTGGGTTAAAAAAGAGTCCATCTAGGCAGTACCACATGATGAAACAAATGAGTTCTTATTTAGATGAAGAACAATGCCTTAATTGGTAATCTATTCGTTTACTTTTATTATAGAGAGTATTGGAGCAGTATATATCAATTGACAGATAATTCCCATTTAAACATTAAAATTAAAACACGAAGTTCAGCGAAAGGATCTCTTTTCAACGAATTTATTATCAAGCTGTACAATCGCATAAATATGAAAATTTTTTTGTTTTTGTAAAAGTATATATCAGTATGAAACGTAGTTTCATATCGAGTAAACATTAATTTGACCACATTGGGATTAGACATAAAACTTTCCAGTGTGACATTTCATACTCCATCCTTTATATGAATTGAAGATATGTGTATTTCATGGATAATTTCTAATACTGTTGGTCTACTCGGAGCTAGTGGCAACATAAAGCTTATTTTTGGACGGTGTATTAATCATTTTCGAAACAAAGATTTTGATAAGTTTTATGTATTGTATTGGTTTCCAGATTATACATTGTTTTCTACAGAAATTTTGAAGTAGTGTTTACTTTATTATGTATTATCATAAAGTCATGGCTAGTTATGTGGAATTAGAAACCACCAATCCATACTTATTTCTTCAAAATACTTCCTGGTAGTATCGGATAAAGCTTTATTTTGAATATCATTTGAAAAATTTTCAAGTGAAACTTCCAATTTAACGTTGCACTTCATAACTAAAATTTCGTGTAACTTCTTCAACTACTTATTTATGGTTTATAGCAGCACTATTCTCCCGAAACAAAATTAAGATGTCTATGAAGCTAGATGCTAGATTCATACACTGGAAACTACTTAATCTGAAAATTATTCGGTTAGTGTAACAATTCAGTTACATTTAGATATTGTATTATTCCCAATCAGGTTATTTATTGCTGTGTATTTGCGAGACGTTTATCTTAATGGGGACATCCATATTTTAACGAATAAATGCTAGGTTGTAATGAACTGAGGAAAATCCCTACTATAAATGAGTTAATTACATATGTATATTCATGGAACTAAACAGGGAGTAACGGCAGTAAATTCATCATGGGGTTGTGGAGATTTCTGAATTTCATTTAAATCATGAACCCATTTAAGTTGGACCACCATTGAAAACCTGAAAGTATTGAACGGCCATCTCGTTCCAGTATGGAACTCATCATCAGCGCACGTCAGCATCCCCGCACACACAAATTGAACCAAGAGTTCTTGTGAGGAACCGTGACCGGTAAATCTAATCTTTGTCAGGTGTTAGGCCTACTGAAGACAATCGAAGATAGTCGCTCAGTGTCGTGGACTAATTGAGGTTTAGTGTTGAAAACGTTGGATGCCAGCCCAACGGTCCATAGGTTAAGGGTTCGTGTGTGAGATCGAAGGTCTTGGGCTCGTGGATGCACCCTTCTGAGGAGTTCATGAGTTTAATGAAATTCTCCACAACCGTATAGTGAGAATCTTAATGATGTATTCTACGCTTTCGGGTTTACAATATTCTGTATTATTGCACAAGATAATGAATTTATTTAAACCTCATAGATATACTAATCATTAAAATTGGTTTTATGATTCCAATTTATGTATAAGTTGCCAATTTACCTAAATGTTTGCTGCATACCTAATTTACTTAGTTCATCCACTCTTCTGTTTTAAAAATACTCAACATGGCAGTACGCTTCTTACGATTGTTCACAAATCATTGATCACTGGGTAGTGACCAATATCATGAATTTCATGTCCTTTTTTAGTGCTGACCAAATTCTATCGATCAAGCTGCCATGTGGCCACTAGATTAAGTTGCTCGGTATCTCGTGGATTATGTTGATATGTAGTTAAATAAATACTAATTTTAAGCATGAGAAAATATGATAATAATTAATGAGATGAAATAAGTAGAATACGACCAATACACTTCTCACTAAAATCTATAGTAAGAAATGCATCAGCACTATTTTACAATGCCTAATATGAAACATATACAAGTTTCGTGTTTGAAATAATCTGAATCTTAAATGAGAAGACAAGGACTTAGACTGAACGCTAATTGGGATTTTTAGAATAGCGAGGTTAGTTTTGATTGTAGCTATACAGGAAAATCATTTTTTCGAAATTAGATATAAATGAAAAACAATTTTTATGAAGATAGCCGTTTATGGAGATTGTTCATTTTGGCTTCGGCTGGAGAATGATTCAAAATGAATGAGTTCTAGACACCTGTTTCATGCCATTTCGTGACTTTTGTCTTATACACTTACAACCCTGTATGAACGGGACCTGCTACACTTACATTACGAAGCTAACGTGATAACTTTGTGATAATATGTTAGAATCGAATGATTCTCATTCTCCACTCCAACCAGTTCGTGAAACTGAGTGACTTTCTTGTAGGTATAATCTGTCCCACGACCGACGTGGTTTGTGTTGATACGGAATCTCAATGATCTTTAATCTTTCTCTCTGACGGCTTTTCGTAATTAAAACTGAATTTGAAATTCATCTTGTTACTTTTATCATTGTTTAATTTGCCTTCGATGACATGATTATTAATGTAATTTACAAGTCTAACTAAACTTTTTAATATTGGATGGTTGGAAGTTATAAATAAAAAGGAGGAAGGACCACTACCTGACATCATTTCAGAAAATTATGGACTATTGAATTGAACCATATCAGATACAAATTTTTTGGTTGAGTTTAGTGAAACAAATGTGTATTATTATTCAAAACCTTAGTTGAAATGATTTAATACTGATCTTTGTGTCACGGATGTATTCGATCTTCACCCCCTTTCTAAATTTTAAGTTTTATTATTATTTCATGCTCAAATTTAATTTGTTCTTTATTAACTAACTTTTCTGTTTGGTTTTAACAACCAATTTTGTTGTTTCAACCCTGTTACTATTCGATGTTAATATCGTCTAACTGAGCAACTGCGGTCAATAAACATCTACACTTGTCTCTACTTTGCATATGACTTTGTTACAAAGTCTTAACTGGTGTTAACTGCTCATAAGTGTTCACTAGCAAAGAGTTTCCTATTAAAGAATCTAGCATCCATCATCTAACTCCAGAGTAACAGATTTTATTGGATCCACTAGGCACAGCTCTTTGGTTCTAGTTTGAAATTCATTAGCAGTACCGGCTCATGATATTACACTACGTTTAATCAGGTATTTCAACCTATTTTAGGGATACTTTCGGACCACTGAGTTAGAATTCAGTAGTCATCATTTCCACGTTGAATTAATTTAGGATTTTATATGACGATCATCTAGTGATGTCCGGTATAACTTCTACTTTCGACATGATAAAACTCTATTGGTCCTGGTTTCTCGAAGGTTGTTAGCGCATAGCACAAAACTATCATTTAAATAAGTTCATTGTGTGGAAGTCTGTTCAGTCTAAAAATAGTCATGATTTGTACTATAATCAAGATATGTTAAAGTATTTTAAGAAATTTATTATCAACCATGTTCTCCTTTGCTTTCTTCCTAAAAATTAGAGGAACTTCTATAACTAAAAGAATTCTTCATGGTTGTATTTTTCATAAGCTAACTGTTTCTTTCATTATTTAATACTCTCGTTCCATTATTTTTATTCACTTATTTGCTTTTGAGTATACTCACTTTCCTTCATCTGTCTATTCACTCTTTCATTTTCTTATCTGTGTCGCGCATATCTATTTTGGTGCCTATTTGTGCCAATAGTTATGTTCAAATAAATAATCAGTAAATCTTTCCAGTGGTCTAAACAGTAATTATTTATAAAATTTAAAGTGTTTTCAGAAAGCAATATATACTGCCTAATA